GCTCAACTTGAATGGAGGCCAATGAGCTCTGAAATTCACCCGCGGGTAGTTGCAAACATTGCCGACATGAAGCCTTAACAGCACCATCTCCACCTACATCTATTTTCACCTCAAAAACAAAACCTCCAAGTTTTGTGCCTACAAGACAATGCACTTTCGTTGTCGTAAGATTTGGTTCCTTCGTTTTTTTAACAGGCAGCCAGCAGACACATTCGGCAACGTTGTTGCTCGTCGTCAGAAGTGGCGCCGAGGTTACCGTCATTGCTCCATCCCGTGCTCCAGCGCGATGCTGCAATAAAAAATGGCCCGACACTTTGCGCTGTCGCGAGGAAAAGTAATACATCTCTCCATCCGTAGCAGCGACGAGTGTGTGTGAGCCCGTGGGGTCAAGAAACACCCGGTACGGATTGCGAATGGCCGCAGTAAGAGGTGTAATGTCCTGCACCGTGTCTCGCACCACCAGTCGACCCTTCTCTCCCAGCAATGCCATGACGTCACACTGGGAGTCCATGGAAAGAATGGGCTCTTCCAGCTCGTGCATAATCGTTGTGAGCTCAAAATGTGGGGCGAGGGCCTCTGTCTCCCCTTCCTCCCCATGACGGTACAGCAATGAGGAGGAAGAGGAATCGGTTGAGGAAGAACGACCGCTAGAAAACGCCATACGCCTCAAGTATCCAATGGAACTGACCAAAAGCTCCCAGCTGAGAAAAAAACTAAAAGAACACCAAGAAAAAAAAAAGTTTTAACAAAATGCACCACACATAATTCCACACACACAAAAAGCACATGCATACATGTCGCATGGAAGAAAAAAGAAGCAAAAAAATAATAATAAAAGAAAAAAAAAACAAGAAAATAAAAAAAACATTGTGGTACATCAATTCTCGTTACATGTCGGAGTTGCAGCTCCTTGAAAAACGTCAAACAAAAAGAAAGTGAGAGATCTGTGTAAAGCAAAACTCCACCTCGTTTTCTATATATGTGTATATATAGGTGGAGATAAATACAACGTAGCAATAACTCACCACACTCAGCCCCTGCCCTCTTCCTTCACTTCTCTTTCTTTCTGTTGCTACCGCTGCTGTGTATTTTTGCCCCTTTCTCTTCTTTTTGTTTTTGAGCATCTTTTTTCTCTCTCTTTTTTGTTGTGTGTTTCTGTGTGTCATCCTATTTCCGCTGCTTAGCTCTCCAGTTGCATGGTAACTACCTGCCGAATGAGATCATCCACCAGAACACGGGCCTGCCGCTTCTTCGCCAGAACTTCCTCTACCTCCTCCATTAACCACGGGAAGAAGTCAAACTCCACCTCATGCACGACGCGATCGCGGAACCAGCCCTCATCCTGCAGCCGTGCAAAGACCCGGTTCTCAAGATTCATGAGGTACACCTTGGCAAACTGTCTTGCCTGGAGCTTCTCACGTGTCTCCTTCTCGCGCTTGATGCGTTCAATCTCCTGCTTCTTACGACGCTCCTTTTCTTCAAACAAACGCTTTTCACGGGCCTCAAGACGTTGTGCCTCTAGAAGCTCCTCCTTGCGTCGCTGTTCAAAGTCCAGCTGCTGTTGCCTTAGCAACTCCAGTTCTTCTTCCTGAAGAACTTCCAGCATCGCTTGTTCCAACGTCTTACCGACCATTACGTCGAGTATCGGATCAACAGCATCATCAAAGTGAAACAAGTCACCCTCGTTGATCTGCGACTCGGCGTCACGTCCGGACTTGACGGGTACGTACTTGGGAGTTGCTGGACGATCAAGCATGGGGTCAGTCTGCGTTTCCTGCGTCACCACCTCCACCTCGTCCTTAAGCTCCTCTAGAAACTCTTCCGTCTGCACCTCTATGTGTTGTCGACCGTCTACGGGTGGGGGCGTCGCAAGTCGCCGTTGGGCAAGATCCATCTCTTTACGTCGCTTAATAGACGCCGCTCGCATAGCCATCTCTTTTTTGCGTCGAACAAGTTCGCGTGCTTCCCGTGCTTGCTCCTCCATAGCATGTGTGGAAATTGGCGTCGCAGCGTAGGTGTTCCCTCTGTACACACGGCGGTCATGCATAATATTTGCGTACTGTTTGCGTCCTCGAGATCCCGCTGGATCCCGGTACTGTGGACGAATAAAACCCTGGGGTGGATGCTGAAATGTGTACGCCATGGCGCCACCCTCCCCCACTGCACGCCCATGCATCTGCTCCATTTCAAGCTCCTGAGGTCCTCTTTTCCTTCTTACCAAACGTGTTCTTCGCTGGGTGTTACGACTACGCGAGAAGATTCCTTTTCACTCCACGTACCCTCCACCCTTTTGTTCCAAATCGCCTCCTGAGAATAAATTCCTGCTACCTCCCTTTATTTTCAGGTTGTTTTGCTCGTCCTTCTTCCGCTCCCACCAGCTAACACACACGCTTCTGCCCTTTAGAGGGAGGAAACAGGTACTTCCTTCACGGAGTGCCCACGTCACACACGAGTTTATCAGCCCTCTTTTTTATTCTCACGGCCCTCCTCTACTCCTTCCCTTGTTTTTTTTCTTCCAATTCCTCCCTTTCGTGACCGACCCCCTAAAGTGCACGAGTAACGCACATACAGAAACAGACACACACGGTCGTTGCAACCGTGAGCGCATCATCATTTGACGAAAAGAAGAGAAAGAAATAATAAGAAAAAGCAAACGAGAAAAAAGACGAATTCCAAAAAAAATGGCACACACACACAAAAAAAAAATAATAAATAAATAACACCCTCCACGGTTGTTTCAACAGAACTATTCGTTTTTTCCCTTCGCCCATTTCTTTTGTTGCAAAATGACAGGACATTTCCCCCCCCCTCCTCTCATCGTGTCTCTTCACAGCAATTCGTCAGTGGGCCCAACACTGCGTGCAATAAGAAACCGACATCCGCAGCCGCCATGACGCGACGCCGCCCCCTCCTTTTCTTCTGTTTGTTTCGTCACACCCAAACAATCACGCAGCCACAATACCACAGAGCTGGTGGTTTCAACCCAGCAATGCATGACCGCCACACAGGAAGGGAAGCGGCAATAATAATAATAAGATAAAAAAAAAAAAAAAAGAAGCGAGCCCCGCTCCCAAAATCAACCAACAAGAATAAGTAAAGCCTGTACAATTGGCAGTGAAAGACACAAGCACAAAAAAAAGGCAGAACCGTATTCTCGTGGTAAGGTTAAATATATACATACATACATATACATAAAAATACATATACATACATACATAAATACATAAATATTCCACAAAACTTTCCATTACGTCTAAATGTTAACTGAGGTCGAAAAGACAACGCGACATCTTCTCTCCGCCGTCTGCCCCTCCCATTCCCGTAACTGACGACTTTCCACCTATCAGAGACGGTACCATGACAGATGGCGATTCCCCAAAGGAGACGCAACGATGTCAACAACAGTCGTGTGCAGATCGTTCATGGAATATACATAAAATAAATCGACAGATGTGTGGCGAAAAACACCAAAAATAAAATAAATAAATAAATAAAATTATGTTCCTTGGAAAAACACACCGTGTTGGATTGAGGCAGAAATAACAATAATAAATAAAAAAATAAATAAATATATATATATATATATAGCAATACAGTCATACGTTACTCGCAACAACAAAAACCGCATGCATGTCAATTGGCGTAAATGATTCAATAAGTGACGCCATTTGCGCTTCATTATTTTAGACAACAAGAACCAATTCACATTTATGTAAATCGCCCCCTCTTTTTGTCACACGGCAGTAAATATCGGTCTTTTTCCTCTTGCAAATGTAAAGCCACGGCGTGCATTCCCTACGCTGCCAAATTCCCACAATTTGATGTCAAGTGGAAACCCCCCGTTTATAAAATATGAAAAAGACAAAAAAAATAAAATCATGTAATCATCAAAATAATCAACCAGAAGTAAAAAAACAAATAAAATAAAGGCAGCCTGGAAACAATGACGCCTATATATATATATAATGCAAAAAAGAAGAAAGTGATATTGTTTTCATTTTTTATTCCTTTCGACACGTTTATTTGCACGTCGCGACAATTACAATGACATCCAAACAATGTAAGACAATCCCCACATGATGATGAGACAAATCTCCGTCCCATTTCAATTCATATGCACTATATGCACACACACACACACTCACACACACAAAAAAAACAAAAATAATGCGATACGCTAATTCTGAAAATCAGCCGACTCGCAGGAACTCGTGGAGACGCCACGCGGTGTCCATCCACCGACAGCGACGCCGGGCTTGGCCGCTACGGGATTGAGAGGGGGCAAAGAAACAATTTTCGCCAGAATCTTGGGCGGAGTGAAGAAATACAATGAACAGGGACAGTCACCGCCCCCTTTACGGTTCACTCGCTCTGCCACAAAATTCAACAGACAATTTTTGGAAAGCTGCAAAACTAAAGCCTGTTCACGAGCATTCGTCGCATCCCCTGTAGACGCTAGTTTTATGCCATAATTATCAAATACAGTCAACTTCACCGCGTCATCGGCTAGAAAATCAACAAGAGGATTCACATTTCCACGACGCTTCACCTGTCCCAATAAAACATGAACATCACACGGATCACTCACTTGCAAAGATACACGGGAAGAGCTATTGAGACCACTTTTCAGCACAAAATCCACGACAAGCGGTTCGCGCTTGAGGCCGGCGTATCGCAACGGTGTCAACGTCACCTTTGCCATCCCGGGATAAACAGAAATATTGAACTTACCGTGACAGCCACGCTTCATGGTGTACGGGATAAGATAACATGTCGTACTGGGTGGAAGTTCCATTTGCGAGCATACCTCCCTCGCGTCCAGCATCATACCCTTTTGAATAAACCGGTGTGTGCTACTTGTGATGAGCGGAGTCGGTGCCATCTTGGCATGTACAGATTGCATCAAAACCAATCCCGTCTGGTGGTAGTGGTTCAAGCCATCACTATCTGAAAAGGACGGCGTTTGGTGACGTAATTCAGCCAGAATTCTCACTGGACGAGAGGATTTGTTCTCCACCAAATAAATCGGATTGTTTCGGAACGTCGTAAACTTCGGATTGCCTCCACAAGTCATTCTATTCCACTTACCGGCAGAAGTGAGACGATCGCCGCAGTTAACGTTGCACCGCTGCATGCTTGAGAAATTATTCAGGAAAGTCAAGAGGGGTATGAACAAGTGATCAACACGAGAGGGATCAGAGCCACAAACGTCCCTCAATTCTTTTTTCCAGAATCCGTCGTTCCGGTTGAGAGGTCCGCTATAAAACGGCTCATCAAAGTAGCAGTTGTGCAGCTTTATCACAATGTCTGCGGGATCATTTGACTCCTTCACGGTTTCAATAACCGCAAAGAGGGCGTAACTGCACAGCGGATGGATGCCGTCCCCCGCATCCACGTTAGACATGCACGTAATGACATCACCCTTGGCAAGATCAGAATGAATCTCACGCCAGAACTGTGCCGACCTAAAATCACCCGTGTTGGCGGCCTCCGCTAGTTTGTCGTCAAGAGGGATGTGAAGCACCGGGCAACCCGTCAAGTCCCGCAACGTCTCATGCGGTGTGCATTGATCAAGCCGGGAGTACCCACCAACAAACTTCGCGTAGGCCTTCTCCAGCAATAGCGGATACCATGACCGTTTCGGGACTCGTGTAAACTTCGGTTCCATGTTTGCGTCCACTGGAACACGGTCGTCAATTTCGACGCGCACCGGGTTGCTGTTAGGATCATAAAAAATAAACGAATATGGGCCGTTCACAGGATGTTCTTTTGAATCGAAAAGACGGTCAATAAGTGGAGGATGCCTACTCATGGCGGCAATGAATGGAGCCAAATATCCCAGTTCAAGTGGTGCAGAAGAAACTTGTGATGGAAGCGTTTTCTCCGGCACCACCGGGTCACGGATACCCTCTGGGTAAAGCTCACAGATACGTGGCCACTCCTCCGCCATATGCTTATTCGATTCATGGAATTCCTCGTCTTGCCAGCCGCGGTACTCAAGTGCCAATGCGCGTACACGGTCCCGCATCTTTTCTTCATATTCTTCTATTGCTTCTTCGCTGATTTTTGGATTTTGCCGTAGTTGCCGCCGCTCCAACTCCATTTCATGGAAAGTATTATCCAAGTCAAGAGGCAACAGTTCCAAGGGTACGCCCTCCGGCTCTCGCTCCAGAAATGCACGTTCATTTTGAATAAATTCTTCGGCCAGCCGTAATTCCCGATCATTCAAGGCATTCTCAATTTTTCGGATCTCATCTCTGTTTGCCGCGGGGTTCTTCTTCAGTCTGCGTCGCTCCAATTCAAGTGAATGAAACACATCGTCTCTGTCTAGTGGAAGTTGCGTCAAAGAAACTTTCCAAGGATTAGGCTGCAAGTACTCACGATCGTTCGCCAAAACACCGTCCGCAATCTTTAAAACACGTTCAAAAATCATCTGCTTCTCCTCCGCATCATCAAGCATTTGCCAACGCTTTGCTCGTCTTGCACGCTCAATGGTGCGCAGAGGCAAGTCATTGTTTAAAGAAAGCTCCTCCAATGGGATCCCAAAAGGCGATAAAGGTAAAAAAGAACGTTCTTCGTTCAGTAGCTCACTTGCCAACTCAAAAGCACGGCCATTTAACTCATTTTGAAGCTCTTTCCACGTCGACTGATCCATATGTGTATCCATGGCATGAATGCACAAAACTTCATCAATACGACGGAATTTCTCATCGGTATTCAGTGGTAAATCGTCAAGCGGTACACCAAGGGGTTCAGGATCGAGAAACGCGTGGTTCCTCGCTAAAATTTCTTTTGCCAACGTATGCGCTCGATCGTTCATTTTCCTCTCAAGCCTTCTTAGAGAATGATCTTCATTTTTCAAAAAAGGTAAACGAAGCTTTTCACGTCGCTTCAATTCCAGTAAACGAAATTTCTTGTCAAGATTAAGAGGCAAATAACGAAGCAAGACGCCCTCGGGCTCTGGATCAAGGAACCGACGCTCGTTGTCCAGAAACTCCTTCGCAATCGCCCTCACACGGTCATGTATGTCGTCTTCACATCCACGAATAGAATCCCCATTTCGTTTAGGGTCCTTTTTGAGCTCACGGCGCTTGCGCTCCAAGGCGTTAAGAATGGGGTCGTGATTGAGAGGAAGATCTTCCACGAGGACGCCGAGGGGCTCGGGGTCGAGATATGCCCTTTCCTTTTTGAGAAACTCCCTTGCGACCTCATGCGCACGCAAGTTCAAATCTTCTTCGAGGGAACTCAATGTTTCGGCGGAGGCATTCGGATCATTGCGCAGCTTTGCGAGGCCACGCTCCATGTCAAGAAACCTGGGATCACGGCCAAGTGGTACATCTTCCAGTGGCACACCCTCGGGCTCGGGATTCAAGAAGGCCCGTGCCTTTCGAAGGTGCTCTCTTGCAAGTGCATGCACACGATCATTCATTTCATTCTCAATCCCCTTCACTTCGGGATTATTGTCCTTTTTGTTGCTTCGCTTCAGCCGGTAGCGCTCCGCCGCAAGCTTGTTGAACTCCTCATCCGTGTTAAGCGGCAACTCTGCCAGGGGCACGCCACACGGCTCAGGGTCAAGGAAGCCACGGTTCTTCGCAAGAATGGCCTTGGCTAGCCTCCGCGCGCGGTCGTTCATCGCATCTTCCAACTTGGCCACCTCCTCTGGTGAGTGGTGCGGGTCCTTGCGCATCCGGTAGCGAGCCACCTCCGCTTGCCGGAACTCGGGATCCACGTCAAGTGGGATCTCCTTCAGTGGAACTCCCTCCGGCTCTTGATCCATGAATCCACGCATCTTGGCAAATTCCTCGAGAGCAAGAGCATGCGAGCGGGCAATCATGTCATCCTCGAGGTCACGTATCATGTCCTTGTTGCGTCTAGAGGAGCGGGGATCCTTTGTCCGCTTCCGACGCTCTGCTTCCATGGCGGCAAAACGACCATCATTGTCAAGTGGAACATCCGCCAGGTCCATACCTTCCGGTTCACGGTCCAAAAATGCACGTCCATAATTAATACAATTATCGGCGATTTCGCAGGCCCTTGCATCCATGGCTCCTTCAATAGCTGTGAGTTCAGCAGGAAGCGCACCCCTGCTGCGTGCCGCCCTCCGCCGTCCATTGGCCAGATCCCTGAACTTAGCGTCCTTGTGTAGATTCAAATCTTCCTTCGGGATTCCCCTGTAGGTATCCTTCAAACACCTCATGTCGTCGGCCACGACACCCCTTGCAAGTTCGTGGGCACGATCGTTCAGGCGATCGCGCGTGTCTGAAATGTCGGGACCGTTGCGCCTCATATCACGAGAGAGCTTCCGAAGCTGCCCCTCCAGACGCCTAAAATCCGCGTCGTCGTTGAGCGGAACGCTCTCAAGGGGAATGCCCTCGGGTTCAGAGTCCAAAAACAACCGATCTCGCCTGATGCGCTCCTTCGCCAGCTCGTGAAAACGATCCCTCAGCTTCCCCTCCAGCTCTTCAATCTTATCGCTGATCGACTGGGGATCCTTTGCCTTCACAATGGCCCGCTCAAGCTCCAACTCGGCAAACACCTTGTCATCATCGACAGGAACATCCACAGGCTCAACGCCCTCGTATTCAGGCTCAAGATAATTGGGACGATCACCCCTTAGCATCTGCAGGCCCAGCTCATCGGCACGGTCTTGCAACATTTCCCGAAGACTTTCAATAGCAGCCGCATTTTGGCGAGGGTTGCGCCCAAGCTTTCGTAACTGCTGCTCCATGCCCTGGAAGTTGCGGTCCTTGTCAAGAGGCAGAAGCTCCTTCGAGATACCATAGGATGTGGTGTTCAAAAAGGCACGAACCTCCTCCTTTAGTTCCTTCGCCATCTCGTGGACACGATCATTCAGGTCTTTCTCCATACGAGCTATCGCATCTGCATTCTTCGCAGGATTCTCTTTCAATTTGGCTCGCTCCGTCTCCATCTTGTGGAACTTCTCATCCGAGTCGAGGGGAAGGTCGGAAAGCGGAATGCCCTCCGGCTCCGGCTCCAGGAAGCCGCGGTCACCCTGAATCTTCTCCTTTGCCAGCTCGTGGGCACGGTCATTCAGCCGTTCCCTCAGATTCGCAATAGCACCGTCATTCCGCCGTGGCGCTGCCTGCAGGGCATACAGCTTCTTCTCCAGCTCACCAAACTGTTTGTCCGTGCCAAGTGGAAGATACCCAAGTGGCACACCTTCCGGTTCGGGATCAAGGGAATTCCGGCCCTCAGTAATCATTTCCCTCGCCAGCTCATGTACCCTGTCGTTCATCTTGTTCTGTACAGCCGAGATTGGCGCGGCGTTCCGCCCAGAGTTCTTTTTGAGACGACGAAGGTCAGGAAGAAACGAAGCAAACTCAGGGTCCTTGTGCGGATGAAGCAGCACAAGTGGCACATCCTCGGGCTCCGTGTCAATGCCTTTGAGATCCTCTTCAAGTACCCTCTGCGCCAGTTCCTGCGCCCGCACGTTCAGCTTCTCCTCTAGATCGCGGATGCGGTAGGCATTACTCACGGGGTCCCGCTCTTTCAGCTTCGCACGTTCCACCTCCATCTGGTGGAACTTTGGGTCCTCATCAAGAGGAAGATCAGCGGACGAAACTCCAGCTAGCTCGACGTCAAGGTAGCCGCGATCCCCGCTCAGTCGTTCCTGCGCAAGCTCATGTGCGCGGTCGTTGAGGCGACTCTCAAGACTGGCGATCCTGTCTGCGTTCTTCCTCGGGTCGCTGAGCTTCAGCACCGCACGCTCCACCTCCACCTCGCGGAAGACAGGGTCAGTGTCCAAGGGCAGCACGCTCAGTGGAATGCCTTCGGGGTCGCGTTCAAGAAAGCCGCGATCACCCTGTAGAAGCTGATCCGCAAGTTCCCTGGCCCGTTCGTTCAGCGCGTCAGCAGCAGCAGGCGACAAAAGACTCCTGGACCTGCTCCCATCACCGCGCGCCTCGTTGGCCAGAGACGCAAAGACCTCATCGTTGTGCGGTCTCAAAAGTACCAGCGGAATCCCACGCGGAGCCTCCTCCAGACCCTCAAGATCCTTTTTCTTCACCGCACGAGCAATATCCAACGCACGGTCGTTCAATTTTTCCGCCAGATTAGCGACGCGAGCCGCGTTCCTTGCAGGATCAGCAAGCTTCAGTCCCGCCATCTCCAGCTCAATCTGGGAGAATGTCTCGTCCTCATCCAACGGAAGCTTCTCCAGCGGAAGACCCTCAGGATAGGGGTCCAGCTTGTCGCGGCAGCCAAGCCGCGCCCTCTCCGCTAGCTCGCCGGCGCGGTTGTTCATTTCAGCTTCCAGGGCGTGCAACCTGTTAGGGTTGACTGTGGGGGAGGCCTTCAGCGCACGAAGCTCCTCCACCAGTTCGTTGAACTTCGGATCGTCGAGCGGCCGCAGCAAGTTAATCGGGATACCACGGGGAGCCGGATCCACACCTCGCAGATCCTCCGCCATTTGGTCCCTCGCCAGCTCATGCACGAGGTCGTTCAGTTCGTCCTCGATATCCTTGATTGCCTTCGCGTTGCGGACGGGGTCCTTTGCCTTCAGCGCGGCGCGTTTGACCTCCAGCTCGTGAAACTGTCTGTGCTCATCCAGATGCATATAACGCAGAGGCACGCCCTCAGGCTCCCTTTCAAGGAAAGCGCGGTCGTTCCTTAACATTTCCTCCGCAAGCTTGGTGGCGCGTGCGTTCAGCGCTTCCTCCAACTCAGCTACTTCCTCCTTGTTGCGCCTCGGATCGAGCATCAGCTCAAGCCGTCTGGCCTCCAAGGTCTTAAACTCAGAATCTTTGTCCAGCGGCAGCGTGGCTGTTGGATGACCCAATGGCGCGGGGTCAAGATATGAGTCGCGGTCAGCACGCAAAAAATCATGCGCCATCTCGTCCACGTAGCCCTCAAGTTTGTTTTCTAGGGCTCGTATTGCTTCGGCATTCCGAGTCGGGTCCTTTTTGAGCCGTCGTAGCATGGGCACGCTGGAGGCAAAGCTTGCATCATCATGGGGGCGCAGCAACGCGATCGGAACGCCCTGCGGTGTATCGTCCAGGTCCCGAAGATCCTCTTTGAGCTGATCCAAGGCCAACTCATGCGCGCGTTGGTTCAACTCGTTCTCTAGCGCCGCAATCGCATCAGCATGCTTGACGGGATCCCTCGCCTTTAGTTCCGCGTGCTTCACCTCCTTCGCACGAAAGGTTTGGTCCTCGTTGATTGGAAGGTCGGAGAGAGGAACGCCATCAGGATCCGGATCGAGAAACGCGCGATCTCCCTCCAGCACCTCCCGCATAAGCTCTCCAACACGTTCGCTCATGCCCTTTTCCAAATCCCTTATCTTTTTCTCGTTTCTGCGCGGATCCTTTTTCAGTTCGCGAAGCCTCACAGCAGCGTCGGTAAACTCTGCGTCACGGTGCGGACGCAACACGTCCATTGGCATGTCTACGGACGACAGGTCCAACCCAGCAATATCATCCTCTAGCTGCTTCCGTGCCAGTTCACGGGCGCGGTCATTGAGCCGTTCCTCAGCATCCTCAATCCTCTTCGCATTCCCTCGAGGATCCGCAAGCTTTAATTGCGCGCGTTCCACCTCCAGGCCGTGGAACTGAGGGTCCGTGTCCAGTGGAAGGCAGCTCAAGGAAACGCCCTCAAGATTATTATCCAGGTATTTCCCGCGGTCACCAGCAAGCGCGTCCCACGCAAGCCCACGCGCGCGCTCGCCCAACTCATCCTGAAGTTTGGAAACTGCCCCCTTCCCTGCGGGGCTGGCCACGCCTTTCTTCGCCTCACGCAGCCTTGAAATAAGTTTGGAGGCGACGGGGTCCTCGCGAAGCGGCAGACAATCCAGTGGAATGTCGTACGGCTTCCTTTCGATTCCGTCAAGGTCCCTTTCCCTCACATCTCGAGCAAGCTCATGGGACCTCTTTTTCATGGCATCCTCGCACTCCTTGATGCGATCAGCATTTTTCCGTGGCTCATCCGCCTTGAGTGCCGCTCGCTCATGACGCAATTCCTCAAACTTCTCGTCACCCGCCAGCGGCACGTACTCCAGCGGGACGCCCTCAGGCACCTTGTCAAGGAACCAAAGATTGCCATCCAAAAATTCCTTCGCAATCTCACGGATACGGTTGTCCATTTCCTCCATGTGATTCCGAAGTACATTCTTCGGGCCCTCCTTCTTTAGACGACGAAGCTCCGGCACCAAAGAAGCAAACTCTCGGTCGTTGTGGGGCTTCAGTTGCTCCGTAGCAACCCCCTCGTACTGGCTGGCAAAGCCTTTGAGGTCTTCCGCAAGAACATTCCTCGCAAGCTTGGCTGCCATCTCATTTAACTGCAACTCCAATTCTGCCACCCTTGCAGCATTACGCTTTGGATCTTGCGCCTTAAGCTTCGCACGCTCCACCTCCATCAAGGCAAAGACATCGTCATTTGTTAACGGGAGCTCCTCAAGCGGTACGCCCTCTGGCGCGGCGTCCAGATAACCGCGATCACCCTCTAACAGCGCATCAGCAAGCTCGTACGCTCGGTTGTTCATCTTGTCCTCCAAGTTTCGGATTTGCTCAGCATTTGCCTCAGGATCCTTTTTCAGCTCACGCAGCCACGGAACCATTGACGCAAAGACCCCGTCTTCCGTCAACTTTAGCAGTGACAAGGGAATACCCTCCGGCGCAGCATCCACTCCAGCAAGGTCTTCCGCAAGTTGGTCCTTCGCCAGCTCATGCGCCCGAGCGTTCATTTCTTCCTCGAGGTCCCTAATCTTCTTCGCGTTACGCCGGGGATCACTCAGCTTAAGCTTCACACGTGCCGTCTCCATCGAATGGAATTCGGCATCTGAGTCCAGCGGCAGAATCTCCAGAGGAACACCCGCAGGGGCTTGATTCAAGAAACCACGGTCAAGCTGTGCTGCCGCCAAATCGTCTGCACGATCATTCATCGCACAGAGGACCGTCTCGATGGCATCCGCGTTCTCCTCGGGGTCCTTTTTCAGAGCCCGAAGGTCATCCACCAACGCCGAAAACGTCGGGTCGCTGTGAGGCAGAAGCAATTCAAGGGGTATATCACGAGGCAGCACATCAACACCAGTCAGGTCCTCACGCAGCTGATCAGCAGCAAGTTCATGACAACGATCGGCCATTGCGTTTTCCAGGTCTAATATCAGCCTCCCATTGCGCCGGGGATCCTGCGCCTTTAGCTTCGCGCGCTCGGCCTCTAGTTTGCGGAACTTGGGATCCGTGTCCAGCGGAAGGATGTCCAAGGGAACACCCTGGGGATTCTTGTCAAGAAATGCACGGTCTGCTCTTAAAATTACCTGCGCCAACTCCTGCGCACGGTCATTCAATGCATTTTCCAGCTCCTTTACTTTCGTCACATTTGCGCGCGGGTCCTCGTGGCGAAGGCGTAGACGTTCCACCTCCATCGTGTGAAACGGCTCGTCTAAATCCAACGACAGCTCAGACACCGGCACACCCTCAGGCTGTGGATCCAAAAAGATGTTCCGCTCATTTTCCTTTAGCTCCTTGGCAAGCACGTTTGTTCGGTCAAGCAAATCATTTTCTAGAGCAACTATTGCTTTGGCATCCTTCCGGGGTTTGCGATTTAGGGCACGAAGCTCTCGCTCCAATTCCTGAAAGGCCTCATTTTCATTTAATGAAAGCAACTCAAGTGGAACACCCTCAGGCTCTGGATCAAGGAAAGTGCGCTCTTTGGCACGCAACTGCTTAGCCAATACATGAGCACGTTGATCCATCTCCTCCTCAAGGGCACTGATCTTGCTCGCATTCGCAACAGGATTACTCTTCAGTTTCATGCGCTCACGCGCAGATGCGGCAAATGCAGAATCCCCCATAAGAAGCATGTCCTGAATAGGAATGCCCTCCGGTGCCGGGTCAAGAAATAGAATGTCGGGCTCTTTGGCTTTCTCAGCAATGGCATCCGCCTTCTTCTGGAGGACCTCTTCGACAAATTGCACCTTGGTCGCATTTCGTGGGTCCTTCTTCAGTCCATACCGATTGCGTTCGCTATCCATGTAGTCAACATTGGAGTCAAGAATGGGATTCAACAAATCAAGGTCGCGCCCAGGGAGGTACCTTGCTCGATCCTTTCCGAGAATCTTCTTTGCCAGAATGTGTGCATGATCGTTTATCTGATTCTCAACGGCACTGATCTCGTCCGCATTTCCTTCAGGGTCCTTGTGTAACTTCTTCAACTCGGCAAGCAGGCCCTTAAAAGCCTCGTCATCATGCAGTGCAAGATCATCAAGCGGAACGGACTCCGGTTCCACGTCAAGAAAGTCCAGGTCCACTTCCCCAAGCTCTCTAGCGTCGTCGGGAGGGTCCGTGATGCGTACGTGTGCCGACTCCACGCCGACAGCCTCCACCTTGCACGGCACAACGCCATTGCCACGCGGACACGTGGCGCAGAGAGCGTACCGGCCAGAGGCAGGGAGATGATGCACAATGCCTATCTCCCGGTAGTTTGTCGCTGATGTAACGCCTTGAATGCGCTTGTCCTCGCCGTCGTAAAGATAGATGCCAATGAAATCCTCGGCCATCGCGTCACCGCCATTGGACGATCTAAACGGCTTCTCCTGCTGCAGAAGAATGTGGATGTCGGTGGGAACATCAACAAGAAAGTCCACACGGTCCTTCTCCCTGCTCCTCAACTCGAGATGCTCAATGGCAGGAAGGTGGCGCGCAACGTCAACGTTCAGTCGCACAAGCTTCATTTGCTTCTCATCAGCCGGCTTCTGGTACCAGTACGAAAGCAAAAACTTGCTCTTGTCGCGAAACATGGCACTCGGAACAAGATAGCAGAGAGACTTGGGAGGCACCGTAACAAGGTTTGCCGATTCGCGGGAGTCAATGAAAAGCCCCTTGTGCACAATTCGGTGGTTATTGCCGGTCACCAAATAAGTCGCCAGGTGGCTGCTGGATGTGCACTGCGAGAGCACCAGACCGCATTGAATATAATCTAACTCCTGTTGTGGCAATAGGTGAAGTTTGTGTCGTTGGTCCGGCTGACCAATCATGGCCATGATCTGCAATGGCTCCTCAGAATTGTTTCGCACCACATAAAGTGGATTCTCGCGCCATGTCACAAGAGTAGGGTTGCCGCCATTCGTGCCCTCACCCCACTCGCTGCTGAAATGCCAACCAGGTAACGCCACACCACGAATCAGAACCTTCTCTATGCTGGAAAAAGTCTCAAGAAACATACCAACGGGCATGTAGATTGTATCCCGTTGCTCAGGAGAGTGCATGGAACGCAATTCCGGGGTCCATCGTATATCCTCATTGTTCATAGGACCAGTGTAGACGGCCTCAACAAACGGATTGTAAATCATAACCAACAAGTCCGAAAGCTCGGGGTTAACCGAATTTCTTGTGGAGATGACAGAAAGAATACCATACGTCTGGTCTTCTTGAATTCCCAAATTGCTTCCGATCCCTGAACGTGCAGTAGCTCCATAGGCGCAGTTCTTCAAATCTTCATTAAGGTCAAGCCAAAACTCCGGGTCGTCAACTGAATACATGGCAGACTTCGCGAGTTTCAGGTCGGTCGGAATGTTCATCACGGGACAACCAGTAAAGTCGTAGTACAGCTCCTGCAGTGTGCACCCCTCGAGGTTCTGGTACAATGTGTAGAACTTGGCGCACGCCTTCTCCAACAGCAGAGGCCACCAGTGCCGTGTGGGGGAGCGGCAGAACAAGGTCTGCTGCTTCGTCAGCGGAATACGGTCGTCGATTTCGACCTTCACCCACTGGCCATACCTGTGAAACTGGAAGGTGTAGCGACCATCCTTTCGCACCTCCTTTGTCACAAACACGTTGCAGAGTACATCGGGGTGGTGATCCACAAGTGTCGCGAAGGCCGTAAGGCAGCAGCACTCGAAGTGCTCGCCCTGCTCAAACTGGTCACGGCTAAGTTTATCGGGAAGAAGCGGCAGTGTCTTGCCCTCCGGATACAAGTCACCAATGTGGATCCATGGATCATTCGTGATAATCTTGTTGTCGACCATAAACCGCTTGTCCTCAAACGGCGTTGTGCTGTCAGGAAGCTCCGTAATCTTTGACGGAGGCATATTGACGGGCATGTAGTCGATGGGGTTATTCCGTGCCGCAGACTCCTCTCCCTCGTCGATGTCATCGTCCTCATCTTCAAACATGCCTGCATCCTCTGGGGCTTCGACGAGACGACTGTTGGCTGAATAGGAGGCGACAATCGTGATGAGCGCGGGCACCTTTCCCTTCGCACGTGGACATGTGACGGAGAGAGCGTAGCGGCCGCTTCGGGGAAGGTGATAGACGATGCCTGTTTCCCTGAAGTTTGTTGCAGCGTGCACACCACCAATTTTGCGGTCCGCGTCGTCGTACAGGTACATGCCCATATAGTCTTGGGCCATGGCGTCGCCGCCAGTCGCACTGGAATACGGCTTTTCCTGATGCAACAGTATGTGGACGTCGGTTTCTTGGTCAACATAGAAGTCCACACGATCCTTTTGCTTTTGCTCCAACTCCACGTGCCCTTCAGCAGGATGGTCCCAATCCATCTCGGGGACGCTAAGCTTTTTGATCGTGAGACTGCTGTATTCTTCCCCAACCATGTGATACAGGGCAATGGTGAATTTTGATTCAGATCCCTTTGACATGCATGAGGGCACAAGATAACATAGAGAATTAGGGGGAACCGTAACGGCATTCGCCACCTCACGAGAATTCAGAAACAAACTCTTGCAAATGGGCTTGTGGTTGTTGCCAGTGACGTTATGGGTGGGTATTGCATTGGCACTTGTATTTTGGACAAAGATTGCATCGCAATGAAGGTATTGTAACTTACCAACACTGATAATAAACCGTCGCTGATCCTCTTGCTTGATCATCACCACGAGCCGCAGTGGGTTTTTTCCAGTGTTTCTGACACTATATAGGGGATTTTTGCGCCATGTAACACATGTGGGGTTACCGCCTGCAGTCTCACCTTTCCATTCGTCATCAAAGTATGTGGCATCGCCATCTATCGTAGAAACATAGCACAGTTGCATGGAATTAATAATCTTCAAAAATGTGCTGAGTGGAAGAAAGATGGAGCGTTCATCGTCCACACTGTATTTGGCGCGTAACTTGGGCGTCCAGTGTGAATCCTTGCTATTCAGGGGACCTGTGTAGATGAACTCCTCATCCTCGAAGGGATTGTGCAAATGGATAACAATGTCGTTCACAGACGATGTGCCTGTCATCGAGAAGATCTCGAGCACACCATACTGCTGCTCGCGCTGAATACCCATACTCTCAGTCTCCATGTCCTTGGTTAATACAGAGGCCACGAACTGTCCGGATTGAATCTTCTGCGCCAAATCCAGCCAGTAGTGGCCCTCCGTTACGTCCGCTCCAGCGGCCTTGGCAAGCTTCGCGTCAATGGGGATGTTGAGCACGGGATTGCCAGTCAGGTCGTGGTACGTCTCCTGCAGTGTGCAGCCCTCAAGATTCTCGTAGCCGGTATAAAACTTTGCATAGGCCTTTTCAAGGAGCAGGGGCCACCAGTGCCCCGTGGGCGAGCGAATGTAAAGCTCCCCGTCCTCCTCCAGTGGGATTTGGTCGTCAATCTCCACCTTCACCCACTCCCTGCCACGGAAAAACTGGAATGTGTAACGCCCGTCACGTCGAACGTGCTTGGAGACGAAGCAGTTCTGGATTACGCTGGGGAAGCGCACCAGAGTGGACAGGGCTGTGAGCATGAAGCATTCGTAGTGATTGCCCTGTCCGAACTGCTCACGGGAAAATTCCGCTGGAAGGAGAGGCTGGCTGATGCCGTCTGGGTACAGTTCGGCAATGCGAACCCACCGGTCGGAGATATGCTTGTTTTTTTCCATGAAGACGGTGTCATGGAACACCTTGTCGCTGTCTGGAGCTTCAGCACTAACTGCTACAGCCATTGTGTACCAAGATTTCTAATAAAAGAATTGCCCCTATCGCTTGTTGGACTAAAAAGAACTGGCACGCAACGTTAGAAACACGGCAAATGATGTTCCTAAAGCAGACAGTAATCTCTTTAAAGAATAAGCGTAATGTGCAATTTATTTCCTTTTTTTTTTCCGACTTCTGAGTCTGCGTGCGTTAGCGCTCTTTGGAGACTCCTACCTCCACCCGCAAGAGCCATTAAAAAAGTAATGATAATAAGAAGAGGAACGGCAAGGTGGCAGTCGGCATTAGTGACGTCTTCCGCGTGAGTCGCCAGCTCTTACAAGCCACTGAAGAGTGTAGACCGCGTGGTGATGCACGTGACTGTGTGCATGAAGCATAAAACAATGAGAATGGGTCAAAAAATAAAATAAAATAAATATGAACTCCCCGTCCCACCTACGAACGCTCAAAGGGCGAGGGAGGCGCAGTCGTAAATGTCCCTCGTAGGGAGCGGGAAGGAGGCGGAAACTCCAATTTTTTTTTTGTTGTTGTTTCCTCCAAAGTGAATGAAACCGCAAAGCAAAAAAGTTAAAAATGAGGGCCTGTTGACGTGACTGAATGCGAGTCTGTGGGCCCAGTTGGGTGTCGAGTGGTCCATGAAGCACACTGAACTGCCAACGCAACACATGAAGAGCACGCGCACCGACACACAAGGAAGAAAACATAAAACAACAACAACAACAACAAAACAAGAGGACAATTCAACAGTCGTGTTCATATTTCCGCATATAAAACAAAAAAAAAAATAGTTTCATATTAAATCCGGACACAAGCACACATCCTTCGCCACACCCATCCGACTCCATCTACAGTAAAGAAAAAATATTCATTCATATTTATTTTTGTTGCTTTCCTTTGACACCCCTCTGAAAGTTTGAGGGCGGGCGACATGCGGCACGAGCAGACACACAAAAAAAAACACCCTCGTGAAATAAACGAGTAAAAAACAAAAAAATAAAAAATAAAAATGTTGGGACGTGGGCGCTCGAGAAAAACGGAGCGCCAACAGCGACGATGAACGCTGGCAGAGTGAAAACAGCACTCCACATCCTGTGGAACGTGGCGACGGTAGAAGAAACAACAGGCGCCTGTCCCCTAGCAAGCCATGTTGTCTCCTCCGCCACCCAAGTGCACGTACGACCGCAAGACATCTTGTCGCAACAAAGAGTAAAATCAACAAAAGGTTTTCAATCGCCTTCCCTTCTGCCATTTCACTAAGCAAAAAGCACAATTCCCCTTCCCAAACCCTCCTGATTTCTTTTCCCCCCTCTCTCTCTCTCTCGCTATATATATATATAGCCGCATGGGCATTTGTAAACACGCATACACACGAAAGACAAGGATGAAGTTTCCCCAAATCTTCACCCATGTGTTGACTGTAGTGCAGATACTCAGCTCTCATACGTTATTGCGTGAGCGTCAACAGGGAAATGCACTTGTGCATCTTTTTTTTTTTTTTTTTTTTTAAATCTTCCTTCTCTTTTTATAGGCATTGCGCGTCCCCATCTCGTCCAGGCATTTCATTCTTCCTCCTTCACCCGGAGCATTATCCACACCACCCAACTCTGTCCCTTTCCCTCTCTGCCTCAGAAGCAAACAAAAAAACAAAAAAATATTTGTGTTAACCAAAAAATAAATAAATAAATAATAAATGATGTTTTCTCTCCTGTCAAACCACTCACTCTCTTCTTTTCTTTTTTATTATTTCTTTCTTTTTCTTGTTTTCATTCCATTAAATAATTGTAAGTGGTCTGCAGGCACATATACACAAATCAAAGAGAGAAAAATGGCAACCATGACAAACGATTGCACAAATCAATTCACTATTCACATAAACAAAACAACAACAAGAAAAAAAAAAAAGGTAAATGTAAAAAAAAAAGGCTTCTCATTGCACACGTACCCATACATATACATACACACACACCAAAAATAATAAATAAATAAATAAATAAATAAATAAATAAGAAACGGCCATATGAGAATACGCAGAATATGGAACGTAGCTGTACTGTATACACAGGAAATCCCCAAACCCTTATGTGTACGTACATACACCAACATATCCGCACATAAATATCCGCCTCTTCTGGTGTCTAGCTTTCGCATCTGTCAATTTCCGTATAATATATATATTTCTATTTCACATATACTTTTAAATGCATACATATAAACACATTAAAGAATTTCTTTAATAATAAACGCAAATCAAAATCCCTTTTCCCTCCCCCACATACACACAAAAAAAAAAAAAAAAAATGAAATAAATAAATAAAAAAATAAATAAGAAAAGAAAAGAAAGGTAGGCGGTTTGTTCATTATATTTTCCTACTCACCTCTCCTGTCAAACAACAATGACAACAGCAACAAAAAACGTCCCAAATAAACCCCCCAAAAAACAGG